CACCGGGACTCGATTTTCATGCTACAGACATGGGCAACTCCGCCTTTTGGTGCCCACAGCTTCATCCGGAAGGTGGATTTGGCCGGTTTTCTAGGAGACGGGTGGAAAATTCCCGCCCCCCGCCCGCCGTGTTCCTCAGTCTTAAAATCGCCCCCGCAAAACAAAACAAAAAAGTCCTTTACAAGTTGTCACGAGCGGATTTGGTAGGGAGCATTCAATGAGAAACGGGGAAAGCATTAAGTTTTAGTCATACCTCCCAAAATCTTAGCTGGCTGTAAGGGAAACCGTTCAACTGTGGGGGGGTGGGGATGTAGAAAACCCCCTCACAGTTAGTGTCTGTAGGTACAAAACATACACCAAAATCATTTTTTGATGTAGGGATGTAGAAACCCCATCACAGTTAGTGTCTATAGGTACAAAACATGCACAAAAATCATCTTTTTCATGTAGGGATGTAGAAAACCCCTTCACAATTAGTGTATATAGGTACAAAACATGCACAGAAATAATCTTGTTCTCGCAACTTGAGGCTCAACTGCATTGACACAGCTTGTGTCTTTGCTTTGGGGCTGAAAAGCAAGATTTGAATGCATTGTCTTCTACTGGAAACAGCAGAGGTTTTTAAGTCTCGTTGCACGAAAACTGAATGGGAAGGAAAGGGCTCCTGACTCGTGTCTGTTCTGTCACATCCACATCAGTGACATGATGCTGAAGTGACACATGGGATTAATTACTACTGTTAACTCCATTTTTCAATTTGACTGAGAAGTCCTGGAAGAAAAAAAAGCAACAAATGTTTGTACCTGGATTTCATGAACGCGGCTGAAGCCGTCTTTCCAGAAGAACTCGTACAGGTTGCAGAAGAGGTTGGGTCCAGGCATTTCTTGCAGGCTCCTCACCCTGTGGTGATGGGGATGGTGCTGGGCAGGCTTCAACAGCCCTCTTGCCCCCTCCGCCACTGCCATCTCCTCCTCTTTGTCCTCTGCCGCTGCTTTTGCCGCTGGATTATTTTGCACCTCCAGAGCGGGGCTGCTAGAAATTTTGGGCAGCTGTTGAAACCTGCAGACAAAAACCACACGATAAAAGCAACCCCTTCTCTCAGGTTCAAGAGCCTGTTTACAATTGGTTTTCAAAACCTTCAGTAAGAGAGACATTTTTTTTTCAATTAAAAAAAAAAACCCGTCCAATTGCTTCTGCGGCTGCTTTATTTGGTTGCTGTTTGTCCTCTGCTTTAAGTTGTAGAAGCAGCACTTCCAACTCTTGACTGCACGAGCATCAGTTTACACAGGCCATTATGAAAGGCTCCCTCCCCTCGGGCTGGGAAAGGGGGTGGGTCTGGGATGAGACTGAACCTATTACTTTGTATAATTCAAATCAGATAAACTTACTCCTTAATCGTACACTGTAGCAATCGGTTTAGCTTTCTCCACCCCCCCCTCCCCACTTTGACAAAAATTTGCATAGGGATCATCTAATTTTCTTCTTTATTAAAAGGTGGATTTAAGATTTTTCCCCCTATGATCCAGTTCATTTTCATGCATTTCAGCAAATACCTAGTACATTGCATAACATATGTAATTTCTGTATGCAATATATCTAAATTAAATAATTATTGCACTTCTCTAGGTCATAATTCTGTAACTATGCAATAAAACTTTTAAAAATACTAATAATTCACGTATAAATGGCAGTGCTTTCTTGGAATAATTGTATATTTTTGTTCATATTTCTTACAACCAGTGCTCATGTACATACTTTATTCCTGAATTTATTATGATTGTGTATCTTTTCAGAGTGCTTTTCTCTGAAGGAACATCTCCCTACTCTTGCAGAAGTTTTAATCGGACTCTCCCTTTTTATTGGATATCATATTCAATTTTTCTTTTACTTTCTTGATAAACCTATAGCCATTTCATCGTGATTTTTATTCTGCGCATAAACTTAAAATTCCAAACAGGATGTCCTTCTGTTTTGCACAATGTTTTTAAAAGACTTTTACTGTCTTCCTGTTTACGACTTGATGCAAGTAAGGTGCTCAGTTGGTTGTTTTGTGAAGTGACTGTCTCACCTGCAGGCCTGTATCCAAATGCAGCAGTTAAATCTGAGTGAGAAGCTATGAGCTGTTCAAGTAAAACTTCATCAGGGAGATATGGCTGCCATGTGAGGGTCCCTGATTTTGGAATTCACAACTCCTGGAAGTTTATCAGAGCCAAATCTAGTGAGCTTCAACACATACCGTGAAATATTAATGTAATGAAGATTGGAAATTTATGTTTTCTAGGGCCTTGATTCTGGAAAGATGCATGTGCTCGGCTCTCATTGAGACCAGTGGTTCTCAACGTTCTTTGTAAACATCGATGGCCAGTGCTGACGCAGTGCCCCTCACTCCCAACCGGCTGTCCCCTGACCCCAGCCTCCCAGTGTGTGGGGCAGGGGGGCCCCCCAAGCAGCCCCTTGCAGACTGGAGCTCTGTCAGCCTGCAAGGGAAAAGCCACAATTTTCTCCTTTAGAGGAGAACCTGTTTTTAAAGTTTGCTCATGACCCTTTCATATATTGTTGCCACCCGCTGATTAAGACTTTTCCAATTTACTGTATTTACTCAAAAGAGAAGGCAACCCTGATTATAAGGAGACCACCCCAATAATTAGATTCTATATATGAAGAGTTATACCAGAGGAAGGAAATCAAGAATTTTCTGGAAGAGACTGAAGAGAAAGAAGGGGAAGAGGAGATACAGAAAATAGAAGAAAAGATAAGTTTAAAGGAAGTGGAAGAGTGCTTAAAAACATTTAAAAGAGGAAAACCTCCAGGAGCAGAGGGACTACCCATGTCATTTTACAAGAAATTCTGGTGGGGATCATTATAGCAGAGGTCTTTGAAGCAATAGTGGAAAAAGGAGAGTGGGGGAGGATTTTACAAGAGGAATAGCAATGTTATTACCCAAGAAAGGAAAGAAAGAGCTTCTGAAGAACTAGAGACCAATTACCCTGCTAAATACAGTGGCTCTGAGAATAGGAAGAATGTGAAAAAAGTTATACATGAAGATCAAACCTGTGCAGTCCCAACCAGAAAGATTTCTGTCTCCGTTTGGCTGAGAAGCGATACTCTGACACACGTTCAGGAGAGGAAGTTGCACATGGCAGTAGCAAATTGGGATCTGGAGAAAGCGTATGATAGAGTGGACCATGATTTTCTATTTGAAGTGTTAAGGAAAATGGGCTTCCCAGAGAAATTGATAGGTCGGATAATTTGCTATATAGAAAGCCAAGTGCTAATAAATGGACATCTGAGCAGAGCCTTTAAAATCCAAGCCAAGGGTCAGATAAGGGTGCCCATTTTTGCCAATATTATCTGTATGTGCAATAGAGCCACTGGCACAAAGAATAAGGAAAGGTAAAAAAATAAGTGGGATAATGATACTAGGAGGAGGAGCGGTAAAGTCTATCATTGTAGTGGCTAGGGAAAAATGATGGATTGAAAGGGTACAAAAACATACAACAGAATATGGTGAAGTGACTGGGGCTAAATTAAGCAAAATGAAAAGAGCTATGATGAGAGTGGGAAACTGGAGGGACCTAGAGAAACTTGGACTACAAGTAGTAGCAGAGGGAGAGAGCAGGGTTGTATGGATCCCAATCAGGGCAGAAGGGAAAGAAAATAAAGCCTGGGAAAAGGTGGCAGCAAGGGTGTAACAAGCATTATGGTTGTTGTGGATGGGAAGGACACTGTCCTTGCTGGAAAAGTGGTGGCAGTTAAGGCAGTGCTACTGACAATAATTTTGTATACTGGAATTGTGTTTCCAGCGTCATGCTAGTGAAAGTACACAGGGAAATATGTATGTTCTTTTGGAAAGCAAAAAGAGAAAGGCTGGACTGTATAAAGCAAGAGAGGTGAGGGATGAGGGATGCTGGACATAGAACTGTTTGTTTATACAAACTGTGTTCATTCAATGTGTAAAGTGGCAGCAGGAATGAAGGGAAGGCAGCACGCTTTAGCTGATTTTTGGCAGGTACGATCTTGAGAAGATGGGAAATGTATGGGGGCTCTTGGAAGAAGCCACTGGTGTAGCAATCTCCCATTCATTACATAAGAATGGAAAGTTTTATAAAAATGTACGAAATAAGAAAGGTGGGGCAGGAGGCCCTGAAAGATCACAAGAGATTGACAGAAATTGTGAGCGAAGGAGACAGTATGGCACCAGTGAGAAACTTCACAGCAGGACAACAAACAACAAAGGGGAGCATGCTGATCTAGCTCAGCTGATGGTGAGAAATACCTTGCTGGTGAGGAGGTGCATCAGCAGTGTGTCCAAGGGAGAGATGTGGGGAGAAAGAAACCGTGGGATGCATTTTAGGAGTATACATATGCAAAGGTTGTGTGGGAAAGGGTACATTTCTTTTGGAGTGTCACAAAAATAAACCAGTCCTTATCTGAAGAGCCAGTGCTATACAGACTCATACCAAAAGGCCCCGAGAAAATAATATTGAGAGCACTGGTAGCAAGTGTTCAAATGAATATGTGGAAAGTAAGAAACCCCTGGGTGTTTAAAATGTTGGCTTTCACTGAAAGAGTGCCTGATGTTGGGACTGTATGAACTGAATTAGTACATCGATCAGGACAAGAAAGATTGGAAAAGAGGCAGCAGAAAAGAAATGGAGGAAAAAGGACTAGTCACACATGTTTCACTGAACCAATAGAGTGGACCGATGGGCATTTCAAAGGTGTTACAGGCAGTTTTGAAGCATAATAGCTTTTAGAGGGAGATTAAATAATAGTTATGGGGCTCCTTATGAAGAAATAACATTTTCTGGTTTTTTTAAGGGGTCTTGGGGAAGTAGATGTATGTTGCTATGGGTTTTTTAACATATGTAGGTTTATTGTTTGTTACATAGTTGGGTTGCGATATGAAGTGCTGGTAAAACAATGTTGTTTAATATGGGAAGTTTTGTAAGTGTAGCGTGATAAATGTGTTTTTAATAAAATGTGCAAAAAAAGGTTCTTGTCAGCATGTTTGCCCAATGTGGGCCATGTGTTTAATAGTTACTCTCACTGTTAGCTGCATTTAATTAACTTCATCATTGAGTTCCATTGCTGAGCACATGCTGCTTCTGGCAGCAGTTTAATGACAGACAGTCTATTTAGCGAGATTTCCTTGTATGTACGTAAGATGAGAGGCTTTTTGTCCTGTATTTGAATAAATACAGTACTCTGAGCAGTAAAATTATGCATGTGCATAAGTCTGTAGAGCAGGCAAGAAATACTGTTCAGGTACAAAATATAAATTAACACACTCTTTATCCTAATATCAATAATGGGGGGGCCAAAACTAGACACAGTACTGCAGATGTGGCCTCACCAGTACCTAAGCTTTCTAAAAACAAAATGAAATCATTGAAGGTTTTTAAGAAAAAGTTAAATGCATTCTGTCAGGAATGGTCCAATAATATTTGATTCTGCCTCAGAATTGAGGGGCAGGCTAAAACAGCATTTCCCACACTTTTTGCATTTATGTGCCATCAGTTAGGTCAGCCACGCTTGTGTCATCCTACTTCACCTGCCAAATGTAGTTTGATGCTTTTGCTCATGCACAGTATTTGCATGATTTGCACATGCATGGGCAGTGGACTTATTGGGTAATATTTATCTTTATTTGTGTCCCCTTGTAGACATGCTCCACAGTTTAGGAAATGCTGGATTAGACAATCTCCTTTTCTGCCTTATATTTCTATTTGATATATCCATCATAGTTGAAATACATTTCTTTCCTATAAAAGTGCTCTCTAGGAAGAGATGATCATAAAATAAAACTTTTCAAGAGGGATGTGGACAACATAGAGAGCGTCCAGAGGAGGGCCACTCGCATGGTCAGGGGGCAGCAGGGCAGGCCCTACGAGGACAGGCTATGAGACCTGAACCTATTCAGCCTCCACAAGAGAAGCTAGTCAGAGGGAACCAGCAGGCACTGGGGGAGTCCCTGTTCCCCCGAGCACTACCAGGAGTGACCAGGAATAACGGTCACAAGCTGGCAGAGGGGAGATTCAGACTAGACATCAGGAGGCGCGACTTCACTGTCAGGGTGGCTAGGATCTGGAACCAACTTCCAAGTGAAGTGGTGCTGGCTCCTACCCTGGGGGTCTTTAAGACAAGGCTAGACAATCACCTTGCTGGGGTCGTTTGACCCCCGTACTCTTTCCTGCCATGGCAGGGGGTCGGACTTGATGATCTGCTCAGGTCCCTTCCGACCCTACTAACTATGAAACTATAAGGAAAAAGTTAAAACAACCAGTGATTTGGATAGAGTTCCATATAGCTGTGCTACA